ATTTCAATGTCAAAGTGGATTTTACACTAATTTGTGTTTTGTTTGTTTCTATGTGGTCCTGTGATGGACTTGCGACCTGTCCAGTGTGTATCCAGCCTTCCACATACAGTAGTTACTACTGGAAATAGGCACCAGCTGTCCATGACCCAGAAAGAAAAAGCAGGTAAAGAAAATTGATGGATGGATGTGTATTACAAGAAAAGTGCCAGCGGTTTACAGTTCAACCAAATGGCACATGTTTAGAATCAAGTGGCACCATTCTCAGAAAGCAGCAAAGTCAGATGATGTTTTGACAGAGTGAGTGTCTGCAGGAGTAAAAGGTCAGGATGAAAAAAAAAAAGGTCAACAAGAGATTGCATTAAAGCACAGCAGGGCAAGGCTGCTTGTTTCCTTTGGGTTTGTGTTTCATTATGAAACTGCCCAGACTGAATTATTGTGCAGTTATTTTGCATCCTACTTAATGTTTTTATTGGGTTGAAGAGCAATAAATGCTGTGTAGCATCCTTCCCTTGTGTAGCATTACTAGATCCACAGGAGTACCATCAATAGCTGACTCACCACAAATAGCTGAATCATCCCTGCAACACAAAAAAAAAAAAACTGGGAGGATAGAATATGTCTTTTCCGTACTACTCAACTTTTACCATCAAACTTTCAACAAAGATGGATCGTTGAGTTCAATGTCCATTGTCTAACAAAGTCCATTGAGCATGGACTTTGTTGATGGATCAAAATAATTACACTTTAAAATCACAGTTTACGCAATGAACTAGAAGTTGCAGCCGGTTTGTACTATGTGTTTAAGTTAATTAGTTAATGTTACTAAGCTGTGATGAAAAATCTGAATTGTGACGATACAATATTTTAAATCTTACAAAACAGAGAATCACTATTCTTTTAGTGAACTTTTAATTCACTTCTTCTTTTTCTTTCGGCTTTTCCCTCTTGAGTGTTTGCCACAGCGAGTCATCCTCCTCCATCTCACTCTGTCCTCTGCATCCTCTGTCCTCACTCCAACTACCTCTATGTCCTCTAACTGCATCCATATATCTCCTCTTTGTCTTTTTCCTGGCATTTCTAACATCCTTCTACCAATATACCCACTGTCCCTCCTCTTGACATGTCCAAACCATCCCAGTCTGGAGTCTCTCACTTTATCTCCCAGTTGTTCAACCTGTGCTGTACCTCTGATGATCTAATTCCTAATCTTATCCAACCTTGTCACTCCTAAGGAGAACTTTAACATATTCATTTCTGCCACTTCCAGTTCTTTCTCCTTTATTTTTGTCAGTGCCACTGTCTCCAGACCACATAAAATAGCTGGTCTCACCACTGCTCTATAAAATTGTTCCTTTGACCTTTGCTGACACCCTTTTGTTGCAAATCACTCCTGAAACTTTTCTCCATCCACTCCATCCTGCCTGGACACTCTTTTTCACCTGTTTACCACAGTCCTCATTTTCTTGGACAGTGGATCTGAAGTACTTGAAGTCCTGCACCTTTGTGACCTCTGCTCCTTGTAGCCTCACTGTTCCACTGGCCTCCCTCTCATTCACACACATGTACTGTGTCTTACTACGGCTGACTTTCATTCCTCTTCTTTCAAGTGCATACATCCACCTCTCCAAGTTCTCCTCCACCTGTTCCCTGTTCTCACCACAGATCACAATGTCGTCTGCAAACATCATAGTCCACGGAAATTTCTGCCTGACCTCATTTGTTAGTCGGTCCATCACCAGAACAAACAAGAAGGGGCTCAGAGCCGACCCTTGATGCAATCCCACCTCCACCTTGAAGCTATCTGTCACTCCTACAGCACATCTCACCACTGTCCTGCTGTCCTCTTACATGTCCTGAACCAGTCTAACATACTTTTCTGCCACTCCAGATTTCCTCATGCAATACCACACCTCTTCCCTCAGTACCCCACCATATGTTTTTTTCTAAATTCACAATAACACAATGAAGTTCTTTCTGATCCTCTCTGTACTTCTCCATCACCACCCTCAAAGCAAAGATGGCGTCTGTGGTGCTCTTTCTTGGCATGAAACCATACTGCTGCTCACAGATAGTCACCTCTCGTCGAAGTCTTGCTTCCACAACTCTCTCCCAGATCTTCATCGTGTGGCTCATCAACTTAATTCCCCTGTAGTTGCTACAACTCTGTATATCACCCTTGTTCTTAAAAATCGGCACCAGCACACTTCTCTATTCCTCAGGCATTTTCTCACCCTCAAATATGCTATTGAATATTTGAGTCAAAAATCTCACTGCCATCTCTCCAAGACATTTCCAAACATTCACTGGTATGTCATCAGGTCCTACTGCCTTCCCCTGCATTCTTTTCAGAGCTTTCTGGACTTCACCCTCACTAATCTTTCCCACTTCCTGGGCCACAGTTTCCATGACATCTACTCTTCTTTCTCTTTCGTTCTCTTCATTCATTAGCTCTTTAAAGTACTCTTTCCATCTTCCCGTCACACTCTCCTCACTTGTTAGAACATTACCATTCCTATCTTTAACAAGCCTAACCTGCTGCACATCCTTTCCAGCCTGATTCCTCTGTCTCGTCAATCGGTACAAGTCCTTCTCACACTCTTCAGTGTTCTGCCTCCCATACAACTCATTATATGCCTTCTGCTTTGCCTTTGTCACCTCCCTCTATGATCTACACTGCATCCCCTTATAGTCATGTTTCCTCTCTTCAGTACTCTCATTGTTATATTTCTTCTTGGCTAACTTCTTTCTTTGAATAGCTTTGTGTACTTCACTATTCCACCACAAGGTTTCCTTATCATCCATTCTCTGTCCAGATGACACACCAAGTACCTTCTTACCTGTCTCTCTAATTACTGTTGCTGTAGTAGCCCAGTCATTTGGAAACTCTTTCTTACCACCCAGAGCCTTCAACAGCTCCTCTCTGAATTTCTCACAACATTCTTCCTTCTTCAACTTCCACCATTTGGTCTTCTTCTCTGATTTTACTCTTTTTCTCTTCTTCACAACAACAGTCATTCTACACACAACCAACCGATGCTGTCTGGACACACTCTCCCCTGCCACAACCTTACAGTCTCCAATCTCCCTCAGGTTTCCGCTTCTACACAGAATGTAGTCTACCTGCGTACTCCTTCCTCCACTCTTATAGGTCTCTCTATGTTCCTCCTTCTTTTGGAAATAAGTGTTGACTACAGCCATTTCCATTCTATTGGCAAAATCCAACACCATCTGTCCTTTCTTGTTTTTCCTTGACACCAAACCTACCCATCACTTCCTCATCCCCTCTGTTTCCTTCACCAACATGTCCCTTCAGGTCTTCTCAAGTCACCACTCTCTCCTCCCTTGGAATACTCTCTATCACTTCATCCAGATCTGTCCAAAATTTATCTTTCTCCTCCACATCACATCCAACCTGTGGAGCATAACCACTGACAATGTTTAGCTCTCCCTCTGTCTTCTGACATGTTTCCCTCCTCGTAGTCTTCAACAAACAGCAGCACACTTTCCGCCTGCACCACGTTTGTCAACAGCACCGGTGGCGGTCATTGTTAACCCGGGTCTCGACCAATACGATATGGTTTTGCTTTGATGAACTCGCATTATAGTTTTGGCAAAAGTGTTTTACATCGGATGTCCTTCCTGACAACACTCACATTTACACGGGCTTGGGACAGGCACAAGAGATACACTGGCTTGTTCTCCCTAGTGGCTGGTTTGTGAACTGTTAATTCACAATAGATAATAATGTGGGACAAGTGATTAAACTTTAGCTAACAGGTTTTAAAAACCAGTGATTTTAGCCTCAAGAAAAAAAAACTGCTTTTCAAATACCTACATCAAGCTATAACTAGCTGTCAATTCTTTTAAACAGATCCAAGAGTTTCTTATTCTAAATTAAGCCCTCTGTGTCTGATTTAGGCGCATGCTTTGTAGGTTGCAGGCAAGCTCTTAAAAATCACTTGACATAAGAAGTCATTATATTAGCAGATTACAGTATGTCTCATATTTGGCATAACTATTAAGCAGGATATAAAAAACAAGACAGAAAACAATATAAACAATAAAATCATAAGCCAATAGGAAAAACACACTTTTCCTGTTTTGTGCTGATGAAAAGTCCTACATTATTCTTTCAATGCATTAGAACCTGATACTTTTATGCATGTTTAGATTTCTTGTCTTATGAAAACACAAAGACTTTTGCAAGTAAACACATTTTTGTTCTTGCTATTGTAAGTATTACAATGCTAATAGTGACTGAGTTAACCACTTAAAGCAGTTATTACTGCTTCTTTTACTAATACTACTTGACATTCTTATGTTCAAAAATGTAAAACGTGACTCTAAATGTGTTTATAGTTTGAAATATTGAAAATAAACTGAAAATGCACAAAATGTACAGAGTAAATAAGGCAGATACGTTGAAGTTTGGAGAACAATCAAGCGAAAACTGACTTCCTTCTTTCTGACTGCACAGTTCTTATTTTCTGCTTCAGATGCAGCTCACATGCACAAACGCCTTTTGACAAATACTGTCTTTCAAAAAATTACTTTTTGCTCTGTTCACTGCTCAAAGCTCAGCTGCATAATTCAATTAGTTGCTACGGCTGCTGAGAATGCGTAACATAGAATTTGTGCAGTCACAACCTTAGTGAAGACATGCTTATGCGTGATGACTTTGTTGGACACAATGCAATGTCATGGCTCAACTGCTTTGAGTTTTAAATAGACCTAGCCCTTAAGTGTGCTCACACATGCTTTAACAATAAATAAAAAATGTGAAACACACAAGCAGCTACAAAAAATGGGGAAACACAATCTGCACCTGTGGGGAAATCTCTTAAAGACTTCTATTAAAGATAGCCATCGGTAAAAACCATTCCCATCTAGTTCTGCATACTTTTCCAAATACTTTAGCCGTTTATGTTCATTTGCATCCACTCACATTGTAGCTTGACATACAAACAAGGACAAGTGGTAAAAAAAAATATTTTACTTACAGTTAAGCACTGCATATTCTCAGGGTGATTGGTTTCGGGGGCAGCACCATGGTTTGACAGCACAGCCTCTGAAATGTAGACAAAGGAATCACGAGCTGAGACAGTGCCTTTGGAGCACATTTTTCTCAGCATTAATGCAAAACAGCTTTCTGGTTGCATAAAAATAAACTCTTCAAACAGTTCAGAGAGTCCATAAAAGTGACTCAAGATGGGTAACAACAGGCAGTTGTGGCAACAGTTGTTTGGAGCAACATGACGTTCACATTTCAGAGCATACATATAACGTAAAAAAGAAAATTTAAAGAACATCCAGGCCAGATGCATCAAAGTAAAATCCTTTAAGGTGTGAGAAGCCAGCAACTTGCAAAAGAGAGAAATGAAAGTGAGAACAAGTGAGAGGGAGGGAAGATGGGAGGGAGGGGTAGGAAAGAGAAAAGGAACTCCTCTTTCACTCTATTATCCGTCCATCACAGGGCTCCGGGGGAGTTACTATGGTTACAGAGACTCATGCCTTGGTGTCCTTTTAACTATCGCTCATAAAGGCAGCATTCAGCATTGGATTACAATGCAAATCTCCCTGTTTTTCCTTCTGTTTCTTTATTCCAATTTTCTGTTTCCATCTCTGTGTTTATTTGTAGCTTTTCTTCTACGTGTGCCCCGTTTCTCTGGATCACAAACTTTCAGAAAACCCTCCAACAATAACTGTCCTTTTAAAATAACCATTTTGTCCTTTCTCTTATCCCTCTGTCTTCTCTTCTGTCACACTCGTATCTCCATCACCACAGGAGAGAGATAATCCTCAGACTGTGAAATATTTTAAACTATGTTTGACCACTCCAAACAGCCCCAACATGAGTCAAAGACAATTAGGAACAAATGATGAACAATAACTCAATACATTTGTTTTAAGAAAGGCACTATTTTAGAGAGAAACATGCATAAGTGATATATTTATTAAACTCTTCCTATATTAAAGAGTCTTTAGTGGAGTTTTTTTTTTTTACTTTATTAAAACCTTACCTGAAAAAGGCGTTAAAAGCATGGATTTAAAATAAACTGTCCTATAACAATTTATAAAAGAGAAAGTTTTAAACCTTAAGGCTCCTGTTTGTTTTGGAGAAAATTACAATGAAACACGGGACAATGCAATCCTTCATGTTTTATGAGATAATACAAAATAAATGTATATATTTTATCTTTTCAAGGATATAAGTGGTCACACTTATAACTTGTTCCATTTACCAGTACTTACTGGATACTTGTTGGTATCTAGTTGTGGCCTCTCAAAATGATATGTGTCTTCATGCAGCCTCCTTTGTATATTTCTGAATTAATCAGTTTGACTTAAAAATCCAAGTAGCAAACATACAAATAATCATCATCATCATTTTTCCTCTGGAGATTAAAATATTCCATCTGTTTACTAGAACCCACATCTGGGACTGGACTTGTTCCTTTATAAACCAATTTTTAAACTTAAATATTTGTAGCTGCTGTATCGACAACATCAAAATGTGGGTGGGAGAGGTGAAGCAGCTTCCTCCACCCTCATTTGCCCCACTCTGGGCCCTTGAGCAAGGCCCTTAACCCCCACCATCTGCTCCCTCGGGCACCCTAGACAGCAGCTCTCTCCTCCACACAGAGGGCTGTGGTAGCTCGGTGGTCTGTGGTTGTGTCAGGAAGGGCATCCGGTGTAAAAATAATTGCCAAGTCTTTGTGCGAGTTAGTTCACTGTGGTGACCCCTGAAGAAGGGAGCAGCCCAAAAAAAAAAAAAACAGCAAACCAACATTAAGTACCAGAGGCAACAACAGTCCTTCTTGTACTGAATGGAGCAGTAGTTCAATGAGGGAAAAAACAAGAAAAACTAATATTTGTGAAAAAACATGTAATTTAAAAAGATCTCTCTTTTTCTTGTTGTTGCTGTAGCTAAGTTAGACATGTTCAACCTGATTTCTACTATAAGTAAAACAGCATTTCATTTTACCAGAATTGTTTTGTTCCGACGTTTCAATGACTAAGCCTCCTCCATCAAAAATAACCATTATTGCCACATTATTATAATAATAAAATAACAAATTCCCAGATTCAGTGTTTTCATTAGATTGATATTGTCAATAAAACAGGTAGGGCTGGAAAAAGATGAAAAAACAAGAAATGCAGTCACTGACCACTCCCTACTTTCCAGACAGCCGACTGTCTTTTCTGTGTATTACATCCATGAAAAAGAGATTCAGTTTCTTTTTAATCTCAAGCCTCCTGGGGATGCAACAAAAGAGAATGGCTAACCTGGTTGGCATCAAGCCCGGATGAGAAGTCTTTTGTCTGAGAAAGACACAAACAGTCGGGTAAAAGATGTGGAGCAGCTTGCAATGAGAAACATCAAGCATGACTGACATTAGAAAAGGGATGAAAGGAGGAACAGTAACAGTAGGACAGTGATAACGTATAAAACAGTAGAAGGGAGTAAAGTGTATTAAAGAAAGAAAAGGAATTACAAAAAAGACAAAAGCAAACAGAAAAAAAACTCATATAAAAAGAATTAAAGAATGTCCATGGCTTTTGATGTTAAATCAGACACCAACAGGTTTGACAAAACATTTAAAAAGTTCTTGACTTTAGTCAAAATCCCTGCTGATCATTTATTCAGTAATGTAAGTCCCTGGTTACATCTGCTGTTATCAACAAATAAACACTGGATGAAGACCAGTGGAAACGCCAGGAGGAAGGAGATGAATTTAATTTAACTTCAGAGATAAACTGCAAAATTTACAAAACCTTTAAATTAAAATGAAAAGTAAAATAAACCCCATAGTTAAATCAGTAGTTGAAAGTTAATTACAGTAGTCCCTTGCTACTTTGCAGTTCGACTTTCGCGGACTCGTTCTTTCACAGTTTTTCCAAATAAGATTGGACATGACACACAACTGGCTGATTGATGGATGAGCCGCACGAGCGACATGGATTATTTATTTAAAATCAATTATTTTAAATGATTAAGCACCTGCTAAATCATTAGGTGCAGGGAGAAGATCACTCCTGCAGCGTGTCATGATCTCTGCTCTCTGCCACTACTCTCTTCATGAAGAGAGCGCTGGCTTGTGTTGCTTCATGAAGGGTTAACCCTTAGCTGTCCAGATGCACCGATCGAATTTTGTATGCGAACTTAAAACTCAAAGTAAGTCACATTGTAAAAATTGTTATAATTACACAATAAAAAACTGTTAAAAGTTATTTAAAAATTATTTTAGAACTTCTATGTTCAGTTGTTACAGTGTAATTGATCAAGAAGTACATTTCAGCTCCATGCTGTAGAGCTGCGTGAAGGGTTAACATTTTGCTGTCCTGTAGCACTTCTCTACAATTAAATTTAAATACTGTAATATTGTAAAATATTACAGTATTTAAATTTAAATTGTTTATTTACACAGAAGAAGGGAGAATGGGAGGCGATGAGATTGATTGCAGCAGAGAAGTATATACATACTTATGTATATATATATATATATATGTATATACAGTATATACATATATATATGTATATATATACACATATATACATATATATATACATATACATACACATACATATATACATATATACACACATACATATATACATACATACACACATACATATATACATACATACACACATACATATATACATGCATACACACATACATATATACATACATACATATATACATATATACATACATACATATATACATATATACATACATACATATATATATATATCTATACATACATATATATATATATATGTATTTATTTATACACATACAATAATTTATTGAAAGTTGTTTATTTCTAACTGCAAATTCCCATGTAGTCAGCTTAAACACTGCTTCAAAAAATCTTTGGTTTAAAACTAAATACCTAGGGAAGTACTGCCATTGTCAGTGCTGTAGTACACCTATCCAAACCTTTCTTGTTGTAGTAATCCGTTTTCCAAGTGAACCAGTAAATCTTGTTTTGTGCAACTTGCATTTGATTTACTAGACTAAAACACAACCCAGATACGAACACAAGTGCACGCAAACAGCAGTCTTAATAATGCAGCATGACTGATGCGCGGTGCAGGAGGAAACAAAATGATGAGAGGACACCAAGTTTGATGTATTAAATATAAAAGAGGCTTTCAATGTCTGAGTTAAACTGCTTAGGGTTATTAGTTTTGAGGGTTTATTTTTTTAACATGCATGTTTTTGGACAGTGGGAGGAAACTGTAGTACCTGGAGAAAACCCACACAAACACAAGAATCCTGCAGGAAATTGCTGAAGACTACAATGTGATTTTATTTTGTTGGGTTTTTTTAATAGTCCAGATCTGGCAACTTAGTACTGTCTCCTTAAGTAAATTAATTCTAGTTTTCTTTGTGTGTCCATGACAGCTCAGCTATTGAAGTCCATTGCCTAAGAGACTGACACGTATTAGTGTCCAGCAACGTTAAATTAAAGGTTATGCTTTGTGGAGGTTTTCTGTTCACAGAGAATCAGTGTGTAAAGTCAACTGAACTGAGCTGAGTTAACATCTGTCTGACACACTTACCAGCTCCTTTAACCTCAGAGGCCTTCTGGTCAGTTTTCTAAAACTCATTAGTTTGGTGTTATCGCACCACAAGAAGGGAATATGCATTTTAAGGCTTGGTTTATTCAAATGTAATTATATTTAATGAACCAAAAGGTGACTGAGTTGTCTTTACTGACAGGCTATCATTAAGACAAGTGTGGTTGTGGGAAGCAGATGTGTTACAACTGAATGCTTACATGTGGAGAAGCTAAAATAACACTTGTAAAGTGTTATTTGTTTTTTGGGGTTTTTTTTTGAAAGCTGGGGCTTTAAATATGGAGCAACAATTTAATAATGGGTGTTTTGTATCTGCTGTTTCAGAGAAGGAGAATCTGTTACAAAGGAGAACGAAGGGCACCAGCGGGTCAAATGCTTCGCTTCGCATCAAGTGGATGTGAGCCTGGAGTCAGCGTTACCCTTCAGAGCAAGAATCAGATGCACGGCATGTCAGACCTCAATAAACTCACCAACAC